GAGCGCGCAGCGTGGAGTAACAGCGCCACCTAGCAGCTGCCTAGGGGTAGGGGCACGGGAGCCCTTCCTGGCGAACAAAGGAAGCGCCCCCCGGGCTGCAGAGGCGGTGGGGGGGTGGTGGAGTAGTGGTGGGGTGGGTGGAGGGACTTGGGACTGTTCTGAGAAGAGTGGGACTTGTTTACTAGAGAACCAGCCTGTGACTCCTGGGGAAAGGGGGTGGAGAGGGGGAAAATACGGGAGAGAGTGAGGCAACTGGGGCTCAAAACAGTCAAATTCAAATTAAAAGGTCAAGACACGATTCAGGTATTCCTTCCCATCTCTTCACCTTCCACTTCCCTCACCCCATACTCCCGTTTCTTCTCTTGGGTTGGGAGCCGGTTGATGCTTTGGGGGAGGAGGGGAGGATCTCCAGTGGGCTCAGGGTGGAAGAGAAAGTTAAAGAATCAAAAGCAGGACTAAAGTTTCTGCTGCCCTGCCTCCTGGTTCCTTCAGCTTGGCCCCTGGGCCTGGGAGCTTCGGACCACAAGTCTTGGAGATTAACTGAGTTGCAAGTTCATTGTGGGGACTGAGAATCTCCAGTGTTTGGAGTGGGCCCGGGAACGGCTCGGCTCACGGCCATCTCAGGCAAAAAGAGAACCCCGGTGGATTTAGGGATCCCTGGAGGAGGAAGCTGAAGATTAGAGGTACCCTTTCTCCAGCCCTGAAGTTGCTTGCAGTCTGGGCCTAACTGGATGAACAACTCCGGCCACTGGGCTTTGGCCTTGGGGCCGGCTTAGTAGGGTGTTTTGCTTCATGCCCCAGCGGCTGTCGTTTTCCGCTTGACCTTGCCCTTACTAAAACAAGGAATATTTCTGAATATAACCTGTAGGCCTTAGCTGGGTTGGAGGATTGGTGTATGTATGCATGCAGAAAAGGAGCACAAGACGCAGTTAAATCTCATCCGCGAGAAGAGTTCTTTTAAAGCGATAGGTCTGGGAGTATGTTTTAGAGAAGAGGGGGCGGTCTAGTGTGTGTGTGTGTGTGTGTGTGTGTGTGTGTGTGTGTGTGTGTGTGTGTGTTTATTAAAGGGAAAACGCAGGGAGAAATGTGTGTTTAAAATAGTTCGTTCGATTTCTCCATCACCTTTCTTCCAAAGCGAACTAAACTCTCCACCCCTTCCTCAGGAAACGGAATCCGGAGAATAACTTGTCTTTCCGGTAGCCCCGCATTTTTCCCCAGGCAGAGGCTGTGGACTTTCCTTTTTCCGAAGGACCAGAGCCTGGCTGGGAAAGGATTCCTGGGCCTGACGCACCGGCATGGATGAGAGAAGAAGCTGGACCGATTTCTGGAGGCCCTAGCCGGCTGTGATGGAAGAAGACTAAGGAAAGAATTGTGCCCCGAATTCCCCCAACCAGGAGAAGAAGACCCAGGGGTCCCTTAATTCCAGGGGCGGGGGGGGGGGAATGGAAAGATCTCTGGAGTTTGTGACTTATTTGCAACTGGCAGGGAAGATCTGAAATAGTTTTATGTTTTCGTTTGCAGGGGTCACCCTGGATTCAGCCTGGGGGTTATCCAGGGCAAGGTTAGGCTGTTTAGGCCCCAGACCAGACTTGGGACAGTCCCCAGCAGCAGTCAATCGAGGGAGCCATTTGTTCCACTGACCATCCCGCGGGAAACAGCCGAGACTTTATGGCCACTCTGTTTGTATTATCTGCATAAGTCTTTCCCCACGAGTTTGATCGAAACCGTTCCCTTTTACGAGGACCCAAAGAAAATTTCCCGTCATATTTATCAGCTGGGGATAAAAATTTAGTATGGGAACTGATATTTCCTCATTTATGGGACGATGAAATTAAAGACCAAAGCAATTGAGAATTATATGGCTTTGGGGGTTCCCTCCCCCTCTTTCACATCTCTTTATTTCCCTCCATGGTGTGCCTGTCCCTGGAGTCTGTCCTCTCAAAACCCTGCCCTTGTCCCCTGTTTTGGAGGCTGGTAGGGCTCTTTCTCCAACAGCCAGGTGCAGCTGGGCTACCATAGCTCTTCCCAGCTTTTATCTCAAGGACCGGAGGAACTAGGGAAGGGACAGTGTCTCCATGTAGAACACGGTGTGCTGGCTGGAGAGGAGGTTTTGAGGGAAGAGCTTTGCAGGGGACAGTGGGATTGGAACCCAGCCTCAGATACTGAGAGTCAGAAAATTAAGTCAACAAATTCTAGAATAATCCTCAAACAACATGCTCCCTCACAGCAACTGGCCGGCTAGCAAGAGAGAAGCAAAGTCATTCAGCTTCTGGGCCTCTCTTCCCTACCAGCCAGAACCCCCCCCCAACCCAAGCCTACCTCTAACCTCAGCCATGGGAGGGAAGGGAGTTGCTTCAGGATTCTTACCATTATGAGTGGAAATAATACCCTTAGGAGAAAAGCTTCCTGCTTCAACTCCCACCTCCTCACAAGAACGAATAGTGTTTAAAGTTGAAATAATTAGAAGTATGATAAACACGGCCCATTAATGAAACAAGAAATCAAATTCATCAGCCTAAGTGGGACCCCCGTTGGGACAAATGTTTGCCTCTAATTACTCAAGATAAACGAAAACCCAGTGCTGTTAAGCAAGAGCCTTCTGGCTTGCTCGGACGCAGACGTGACTAACTTGTTGGCTTTCCCAAGACTTTGGGATCTAACTTAAAGGAGGTAAAAGAAAAAGAATAAGTGAAAGTGAGGGCGGCCGGGTAGAGAGCATCTGTGTGGGTCGAGGAAAGTCCTGTCTAGCCTGGGTCCCAAGCCCTGCCCCCTTGGGCTTGCCTTTCCTGAGTCCACGAGCAAAGGCAGTTTCCGTCCTATTGTCCTGGCCTGGCGTTCAAAGGCATGCGTGCCGCCTCAGCCACCCGATCTGCTGCCACTGCCAGGCGCCCACTGGCCTTACCCAAAGGGCACCTTTGGCAACTGGAGTGGGCGCCAGGGGAAGTCTGTGTTGCTAAAGCCACCCCCATACTTTCTTTCTTTCCTTTTTTTTTTTTTTTTTTTTTTTTTTTTTTTTTTTAAGGTTATCTCTTCAACTTCCCCCAATGTAGACAGCCCTACTCCTAAGCCTTACTCTGGGTCTCCCCTTTTCTTACCTCAACAAGGAAGTGAAAATTCCGGGGGACTGCAGGCCAAAGTGGGGCAAAGGCTGTGCCTATGTCTCAATTAATCCCACCCACCCTAAGAGGAAGGCCCAGGCCCCTTTTACTCTTCCCGCCCCGGTATCCAGACACTGAAGTACAGCCCTGTTGACTGGACTGGGCCGCCTAGGCCTCCTGCGGCCTTTGGGTCGGTGAGCAAAGGAACAGAAGAGGGTTCAGGGGCTACTGGCTGACTCCAGAAGGGCCCAGCAGTTCTTCGGGGCCAGACACCCTAAGGTTCCCTGTAAATGGATTAGAATGAAGCTAGGCTCTTTTCAGCAGAAGCCCTCAAATCGTCCCAGCAGCACCCTGTTTCGTCCTCTGAAAATTGTCGGAGTTTCCTTGAGAGGTTAAGGATGATCTGGGAAATTCTGAAGATGATGAAAAAGAAGGAAGAGTGTATCTCCTTTTGGAATAAAAATAATTAAATACAGTTTAAAAATGCGCATACTGAAATCTCTTCAAGCAAAAATGGAAAACAAAATCACACCATTGACTATTGGGATTTTCTTCATGTTTTGGAGGCCGAGATTAATCTTTCTTTTCCCAAATCTTGCAGGAACAATTCGCTTTTCTTCCAGAGTACCACTTGAATTGAGAGCAGGGGAACTCCAAGCAAAAAGTGGAATGCTCAGAGGTTCAAGGGGAAAGGGTTTCAAACAGGTAAAAGAGGTATGAAGCTGAGGACGGATAAAGGGCTTCTGTTCTATTTCGGATTTTGCAGCCACCCGGGCAAGCAGCGCCGCCAGCAGACTCGCTCTCACATCTAGACAGTGTACACACTTGCACCCACAGGCTCTATAGCGTCTATCCACACATGTCCAGCTTGCACTTAATTGCACGGACACAGCCTCGATTATTTACTTCTATCCAAAGCGCTTCCTGCAGTTCTTGAATCCTGAAGTTCGCTATCCCGCGTCAGCCCGACTGCTTCCTGGCCCTTCTGAAACCAGTTATTTAACCTTGCCTATGGAATCGAAACCAGACCGCACAGACCTCAGAGAGAAATGTTAGGAGGAGGAGCCCAAAGGGAGGAGGTCTTGTGGGGGGAAGACCTTGGTCCCCACTTTAATGGTTTGTTTCTGAGTTGCCTCTGTAGGTCAGATTTCTAGTCAGTGTAGACTGGTTGGGCTGCCTTGCTCCTGAGGGAAAAAACGTAAAAACAAAAACAAAAACAAAACAAAACAACAACAACAAAAAACAACCAAAAACAGGATCTTCCTTCACCAGCTAAATTTCTTTTCAACGGTTTTTTCTTTTCTTCTGTTTCCTTTTTCTTCCTTTCTCTCATTTTTCCTCTCCTGCTTTCTCTTCTTTTTCTTTTTTCTCTGTAATTCCCCGGCCCCCAAGAATTTAATTTGTTGTCTTGTTTCCCCCTTTCCCTTTTTCTACTTTATTATAAACATTATCCTTTGCTTTCTTTGATTCCTTGCTGCCCCTCGACTTTTAATCCCCCCACCCAGGCTTACTTATTTTTTTCTGTTGTGCTGGGTTATGTGAATAGGATAAAGACAGGCCGGATCCATGACTCCTCATTCCAGTTGCTCCAGCTTGAAGTTGACCTTCCGCCTTCAGCCTCAGCTCAGCTCAGCTCAGCTCCTCACAAGGCGAAGTGTACAACAGTCAGCCAGCAGAGGTGGCCAGGCCTCAGAGTCGCCATTAGAGAGAAGGGAATGCCGACTCAGAGGCACCTCCCATCCATGCCAAAGGCTCCTTGAAATGCCAGGCTCCAGGGGTTCCATGTCATCTTCATTTCCAGCATGCTAAAGAAACTTGGTCCATCAGATCCATAATTAAAGAAAAGCTCCCTTATCTTTGTTCTGACTCCAGCACTGAGATTAAATAGACTAAAGTTGAGCCTGTTTGTGCTCTCAGCGCTAGAGTTAGAAGAAGTGAGAGTGAGGGTCTGTCAGTTACAGGTAGAAGGCAGGTCTAAGGGGTCATATGTAAGTTGGCATTCCAAGGCCATGTCCCTACATAAGTACTTTTGTTCTCCGTAGAGGATTCAGGAGAACTGGAGCACTCTGGGCCGCTATCTCCTTTGATTCTATAACAACTGCAATCTCTAGGCAAGAATTTCCTGGTAGTTTGGATTTTTTTTTCCCTCAAACCCCAAAGGCAACAGGGATAGGGCTATGTGTGCAGAAGCCCCCGCCCCCAAATTAGGGGTTTGAACCAGGATTATATGACTCCTCTACTCCAAGAAGAGGGTAGAAGGGTGTGAGGGTGTGTGTGTGAGAGTGAGAGACAGAGAGAGATGGGCCAGACAGACAGAGAGAGAGAGAGAGAGAGAGAGAGAGAGAGAGAGAGAGAGAGTATAGCCTACAACAAAACAGGCTATAATTGGGGAAGGTTTGTTATACTGCTGACATTTTACAAGTTTGGGGGATCTATAGAGTAGATAGGACTGTCCTGAATGCCTGCAGCTACTGTTTGCTGGCAGTCCCCAAAACCAGGTCCAGGGTAGGTCTCAGAAGGGACTGACCTGATTTTCAAGCCTTTTTTGCCTTCAGCAAGGAGCCCATCTTTCTCTCCTCCTTCTCAAGGATTCCATCCTGTGTCAAGACCTAAACTAAGCACCCCCCCTCAAGGAGGGAGAATCTTGTAAAACTTTTATGCCAAACAAAGTTATAAAAACTTCCAGGGCGTTGCCTTTTCTAAAGGTTTATATGAATAATAAAGAGTGTAGTCGCGTGCACACGATACTGGCCAGCTTTGGGCAGGAAAGGATTAGTAAACAGCATTATCCATCCCTAGGGCACCAGGAAATCCTTGGGGCTACCCACTTCAGGGAATGTTGGCCTGGAGAGGAATTGCCCTACAGATTCATTCCTAGGAGGGGCGGGAGGATTGGGGTGAGGGAGGAAGGGGTAGTGCCCTTGACTCCCTTGAAGTTCAAAGTTCTCCTTTGCCTTCTTGAGGAAAGGCTTCTCTGTCTCTCTCTTCTGACAGCCTTCCCAAGAAATGAACTTGTGGTAATTCTTTCCCTTCTGGTTAACTGGTTATGGGTAGCTACAGCTTTCTTCACTGTTAACCACCTGGTCTTTAGCTTTCATTCCTCTACCACCCCCAGCAAAATTTCCACTCTTTCCATCTGGGAGACCTAAAACCTAGGGACTCTCTCTCAGAGTGGGGGAAGCAGGCCCACCATCAAGGCTCCTCTGTTTTGCATTTCCCAGCCACCTAGGTCAAAGAAACTCCAAATCCAAAGCTACCTCTAGTCCATTTCTCATTTCAAGCACCCCTGACTCCCCTTGCACCCCCAAAGCCCATAGTGGAAAAGGGGTGGGACCCAGAGAGCTCTCAGCCCACACCACTTAATACCCTTGTAAACTCCCACGTGCGCTATAAACTTGGATTTTTACAACCAACATTCCTCCTTTAGCTCCAGGAAACTTTGAACTCGGCCTCTGGTTTATTTACTTGGGGGGTGGGGAGCTGGGAGCTGAGAAAGGCTGGAGGAAAAGAGGGAAAATGTGGGGCGAAGGGATGATGGGGTGTGGGGCCTGGGGTGTGTAGGAAGAGCCAAGACCATCCACTGGGGGTTTGTTTACTGTTTAGGACGGAAGCATTTTCTAACACAGGCCAGACTGGGTCGTTAAGGGCGAAATGAAACTGGGTTTAGAGGCTCGGGGACGCTTTATGGCGGCGTCTAGACTGCGATCTTTTGTTCCAGGGCAGCCTTGCGGCTGGAGGGGATTACCCCAAGGGGTTGAGCCCAGAGTGCCCCTGCTAGCAAGGGGGGTTGGACATTCTAGGAGTTTGAAGGTGGGTTTACTTGGGGGCCAGAGATCCTCCTTTTTATTTTTATTTTTTTAAGAAGGTCGCTGCAAAATGTCAGGTTTTTTGGGTTCAAATTAAACAAGGCTTTGTTTTTCTTTCATGTCAAGTCTCATTCTTCAGAAATCTCTTTTGGAAGAGAGATTCTTTTCTAGTATATATATTTGTGGGAAGGTGATAATTGCAAGTTAATTTTTTTTCTCCAAAATCAGGAGTTCTTGGATGCTAATAGTTTCCTTTTAAAAACTGGTTTGTTCTATGGTTGTCTATTGTTATACAGAAAATATGGGCGGCAAGCTAACAGTCCCGGTATAGCTGGATATAGTGGATAAACATCACATCTCAAGAAACTCTCCCCTCTCATGCACACACAGAGGACCCTCAGTTGTATTCCTGTCTACATTCATTAAATACTGACAGTGTTCACACACCAGGGAGAACATAAGCTGTGTGCATCAGGTCACATTTGTTCCATGCAGACAAAAGTGCACAAACCATTCTTCTCCTCATGTGCACACATAAAGACACTGACTGTCTTGAATGATAAAATTTTTTGTGGGTGAGCATAGGAAAGATTGTGAGCCACAATACACCCAAGTTGGCAAATCTCAAAGAGCCACACTTAGAAATTAGAGATCCAGATTATCTAAGCCCTTGGAATCCCTGTCATCAAAACAGAGAGCAGTATCTATACCAGAGACCCAGGGTGCTTTCTCCTTTCATCCAACAATGTATCATGGATGAAAACATTTTCTTGGAATTCCATAAGGACATAAAGACAGAAGGAAGATGAGAGAATTGGTCTTGAACCTCTTACCTCAAATAACAAATTTGGAAGAGATGGATGAATGTCCTTTCTGAAGAACTGAAATGATTAGTTAACTTTTCACAGAAGAAACACATGCAGCAAATAGAGATTGGTGTGACGACTGTCCCCATAGGTTACCTCCTTCCCCAGTGCCCTTCTCCTTGCTAATCTCTACAAAACACATCTCTGGGGTTTTTTACTCTGAGGTATGCAATGTATAAAAGTCAGGGTGGCCCCAGCCTAGGCATCTGGTTCTGTCTGGAGGAGCTTGACCATTTGGGCCAAAGGGGAAGGGTATGGGCCTCACTTTCCCATCCCTAGAGGCTGTGAAAAAGAAAGGGAGGGGGCTGGTTTGCTCTCTTCTCCCCTTTTTCCTTTAAAACTGTATATTTAAATTCCAATACAGCAGAGAAAGAGAGAGAGAGAGAGAGAGAGAGAGAGAGAGAGAGAGACCTATTCTCATTTCTACATATTTGACCGGCAACAGACAGAGACATCTGGCAGGAGGGTAGTGGAGCCAAGAAAATTCCTATAAATTTAAATTTGATGATGGTTACAATTAACTCCACAACAAACCTGTACTTAAACAGAAAGGGTTGCTGGGCATTTGGATGAAGCTCGAGTTGCACGTGAGGAAAAGGAGCTTAGGAATAACTATAGAATGTTCTCTGCTCCAGAGTTGAAGCAATCTTTGACCACCTTTGCCCCAGCCAGTGGAACTGAGCACCAGTGTTCCAGCACTGGCCTGCCTCATCTCAGAAGGCCTGGTTCTCACCAGCAAACCCTCCCAACTGTGGCAGCCTCCTCCTCCTCCTCCTCCTCCTCCTCCTCCTCGACCACCACCACCACCACCACCCTCATCACCTCCTCTGCTGTCTTGGGAGCGCAGGGGGTTTTAAGAGGAGAGGGGTTAATAAAAAGGTCAAATAAAATCATAATATTGAACAGAATGAAATATCTTTATTTGCCACCAAAAAAAAAAAATTCACAGCAATCCCTCTGAGCTAGGAGTAGGGTGGGGATTGCACGCACAGGTACACACACACTCACTCACATGGACAGAGATAGACGATTAGAATCTCACTCCGGTTCAGCCTCCCCTTCCTCTCTAGGTAGAGAGGCTTATTAAATTTATTTACAAAAATTCAGGCCCCAGCTAGGGGGAGATGCCCAACCCCATTTTCCTATGCCTCCACCCCAATCCTGTTTCTTTTTAAGGAGGTAACAACTGCATAGACTAGCAATAAATCCAAGGGGACACTGCTTGGGGAAAGGTTAGGACACCTCAATGCACCAGTTAGGAATTTTCAAAAGAGGGCTCTACACATTTAGGGAGAGACGGGGCCAGGCGCAGACGGAGGTAGGATTTGGACTTTGCACACCTAACACCAGGTCAAAGGTACAGGAATTTCACAGCAAGGCAGGATCACATTTAGCAGTCCCCTAACCGAGGGGCGAGGCGGGGTGGGGGGCGGGGAGTCCAGGAGGTCTCACAGACAAGGTGGCTCAGCGGATCTTTTCACTTGGGCTAGGGAAGGCTTGGAGTTCAAGGATTGTTCGGCTCTGGCGCCCACTGTGCTCGCCCCTCCCCTCACCCAATCCAAGCAGCAAGACTTTGTTGCAAGGTGTATTTTCTTTTAAATAAACAGTCTTGGGGCCTTGGCGCCAACCGGGTCCACTAGCCACGGGTCAGACACTTCCCTCACGCCTTTTCCCAGGCCGAGTCGCTGTCCCTACAGTGAATTAGACCCGAGGCGAAGGAGGTTCTGGAAGGAAGTGCCAGTAACGGCAGTGGGGGGCCAGCCCTGGCCGCAGTCCAGTTTTCCACCCGCGGAAAAAAGACGAGTTAGAAAATAAAATAAAATAAAATAAATTTCCCCCTTTCCCTCCCCCCACCCCAAAGGGCTAGGTCTGCAGTTACAGCAGCGGATTTCCTGAAAAATACTGCAGCCGGTCTCTGCTCAGTTTTTTTTCTTTCATCCTTCTGTTCTGAAACCAAATTTTCACTTGTCGATCAGTCAGGTTCAGCATCCGGGACAGCTGCAGCCGCTTCTCTTTGTTGATGTACACGTTGAAGAAAAACTCTCGCTCCAGTTCCCGGATCTGGAATTTCGAATAAGGGCAGCGCTTCTTGCGGGTGCGGGGGGCGTCTGGAGGGAGGGGAGGGGGCAAGTGCGAGGAGAGGGGAGAGAGACACGTGAGACCCCGGGCGACCCCAGCGGACCCCAGAGGCTCACCCCTCAGCAGCAAAGCTCCCAGTCAGTCCTGCCGCTGGGCAGCCCTCCCCCTAGGCCGGCGACTCTTGTTCCGTAGTCTCTTCGCTGGGGCAAGCCTCAATCCCACTGTCAGGTCTAGCTTGGTCCACACACTCAGTGTGGACCTGGTGCCCCTGCCTCTCAGGCCAGAGTCCTAGCTGACAGTGTCTACGGGTGGAGGAAAGCCTGCCCTAGCCACGTGCTTTCCTTGGGGGTGCCCTGCCTGCTCCTTCTAAAGCTTCTGCAAGTCCTTGATCCTCCCCCTCCTCCAGAAATCGGAGGGAGCCACGGAGAATCGGCGCAAAGAATTGGGTTCTGGCGAGAGCAGTGGGAAATGGGGGGGGGGGCGACCAGCGAGTAGAGGTAGCTGAATACACGGGAGCCTCCAGCCAGGCCCTGGCTCCCCGGGACGCCCTGCCGCCTATCTGCCCGGCTACGCACATTGCCTGGCTGGGCCTTCCCAGAGGGCGTAGACCCTGGAGAACCACCGACACCAACAGCTCAGGGGAGCTCCGATCTTTTCCCCACTCCCCTATCACCACCACACCCCAGCTTGCCTGGATTTCTACTCAAAGACAGGAAAGCATGTAATTTGAACATTAAAAAAAAAAAAAAAGTCGTTTTAAAAAGAAGCGGAGCTGCCTTGGAGCGCCTGTCTGGGCTCCAGTTCTGCCTCGTCGCTCTGTCCCTTACCTCTCCCCCTCTCTGGGTTTCTCTCTGTCTGTCCCTCGCCCTCCCCTTTCCCC